CCTGTGTTTCCAGAGGTGGCTTCTTTAAAAGCGTATTTAGTTCCTCCTGGTATTGTGCTGTGGGGTCCTCTGTCAGGAGTTAGTAAACATAGTGGGACCTGAGCCAAAGGGCCACACCAAGGTGAGGCCTGGGTGCCACACTCTTAATGAGTGTTTCATCCCCTTATCTCACCTGCCACAATTTGCTGTTAATGAAAAGGATATCAGGAGGCAGTACCTGACTGTAGTGGGCTACGCTGAGATGCACACACGTCTCAGTTTCCAGGCAACTTCTGTGGGGCTCCATCTCTCCTACACCACAGCCATTTCCACGTGGGTATTCCTGTAAGGGTATTGGGATAGGCACCTAGTCCCCTAGGAACCTGTCTTCACATGACAGAAGAAAGGTCCGACGTGAGAAGAAAAACAGAGCAGTCTGGGATGGATGTGAGCTGGCCGAGACCTGTTACTCTGGCAGGGGTCTACCACCAATGATGTCCGTACTGCATATAAATTAATAAAGCAATATAACACAAATAGTAGTCTCTGTCATTTACTCCTGGGCCTAGCTTCGACTTTGTAGTGTACATCCACCTTCTCAGGTGGCTGAGGAGGTGGCTCCACCTTCTCCTCAGGTGGCTCTTTGGGGTTTGCACCCAGCTGCAAGCCTGATTCATAGGGCAGGCCTGTATCAGGCCATCCTCTGTGGTTAGTCTGGGGCCATGGATACTATGAATCCCCATGAGAGAGGCCCTTACAGGTGCCTGGCATTCAGTGTCCCTGCTATGGGAGCTGGGGTTGAGCTGGTCTCTAATGAGATGTCCTTGGCTCCAGTAGATGGAAGCAGCATGGTTTGGTGCCTATGCCAGTGCCTCCCCTTTTCTAGGGCTGGCACTGCCCTCGTTTTTGTGCCTGACTGGGCAATGGGCCCAAGTGAAACCCAGCTTCCAGCTCTCAGCCTTGCCCAAGAGACAGGCACATGGGGAGTACATCACCTGCTGCTTGCTGCCTTGCCTACGGGGTGAGCATGCAGCAGGTATGCTGTCTGCCTGTGCACCCACTGCCTGCCATCGGGACACCCCAGGATCCCACAGACTGTGGAGCATCCCAGCAGCCATTGCCCCAGTAAGTGCAGGGCCAGCCTGCGTCCCTGCTACAGTAAGTCACTATATAACTGGGAAAAATAGTAAAGAACAAAGAGTACCTGGAATCTGTGATGGGAAGGTGATTACCTCATTTGGAATTTGGCCAAACAGTGCAGTTAGTACCCTCACGCTTGTTAAATGCACCTGGGGACCTTTAAGGAATAGACATGAGTGTTCTGTAACACCACACAGGAATTCTGGTTCAGTAGTGATTCAGATGAAGGAACAGTAGCATAACTACAGGTGGGTGAGTGGCCCGAGATCCCTGGGTGCTGCTGGAGTTGTGGGGTGGGGGCACCAGAACGTAGCCATAGGATCACCTCACACTCCCATCTCAGCCCCCTGCACACTGCACCTTCCATGACCCAGCAGCCAGATACAGCACTAGGTGTAAGATAGATGGTGGAGGGAGGGGCAGCAAATCAGTAGCCCTGTGATTAGTACCAGTGAGAGGTTTGCTCCCAGGGGAAGCTGCTGTTGTGGGAGGTGTCCATCTACCCACTTGCCTCCTTTTTTTTGCCTCACAGTTTTGCCTTTTAAATTGCTGTTCAACATATATTTCAGTGGCAAGTAACCCCTGCAGCAGCAGCTTGCTTTGTTATGCCTCTGCCACCTGCCTCATTTGTGGCCATTGCACATGGTGCAGAGCTCCCTAGTTGTGCCTCTGTGAAAGAGTCACACCAAGTGAACTGCACCACCTAGATGATCTCTGATCTAGCTACTGAAAAACTCAAGCATGCTTTTTACTTGTGTTACCTAGTAGCATAATGAGTCCAAGGAGGTACATATGATAAAAAACACCACTCCTTTAGAAAATGAAGCCTCCAGTAAAACACTGAAGCATCTTACTAATGGCAGTGGAGAGCACATGCACATTCTAAGCATATCTTTTTGCCAGACAGTAAATTAGTCCACCAGAGCTCTTCAAGGTAGAGATTTAAAGCAAATATTTCATCCACACACATTAGTTTATGACTAACCCATCCAGGACAGAAGGAAAGAAACTTAAGTGAGAAAATAGCTTATTTTCAAATAAAAAAATTCCTTTTGTATTTCTGTCTGTATTTTACTAGTAAATAATGTTTGCTTGCCTTTCTGGGTAATGCCAAAATCTGCTTGCCTGCTGTTCATAGTTTTTAGCACAGAAACAGCTTACAAAATTGAAACCTGAAAAAATGTGAGCATGATTTTAACTCAGTACATCAAAGAATGTGAACATGTTTTATTTGCCTCAGCTTTCCTGTAGACAGCATGTTGCTAGTCAATACTGTCTCTACAGAATTCTCCACGTGTCTAATGCGCAAGACAGGCACCTTGAAACACGTGCCCATGGATGCACATTGCTGTGACAGAGCAATAAACAAAAGAGCCACATTGGCTCCAAGAGCACTGGAAATACAGCAACAAATATCGCTTTGCAAATGGAGAAAGACAATGCTGTTGCCTTCATATGTCAGTATCCTCCATTGTACAGTGGAGATGATAACACAGGGGAGCTGTGCGAATTCATTCAAGTTTAAGAAAATATTGAACATATAAAGGCCCACGTGAATCTCTCTTTATGCTGCCTATCAATGTAAGCCTCTCACATACTTTAATGAATTTATGCTTTCAACACTGAAAGTGAAGAGACAGGCAGATAATTTTTTTGCGGGGGAAGAATCAAAAGATAGTGCTGAATATGGATCCATTTTTATTCCAATTGCTCTTTTTTGCAATAAATTGCTGATTTGTTTCTCTTTGCTGAAACCCAGATTTTCTGAGATTTAGATGACTGAAAAATTGAGAACATTTCTGTAAACATAAAGTTTAAACAATTTTTACTAAAAGTTCTGGGGGGCGGTCCTTTTTTCTGAAATGCCTTTTGTGCAAAACATGGCTAGCTACACTCAGTACCCTTGTGAAGAAGGAAGCAACATCCACACCTTACAAACCTCTATACCTGGAAAGATCTTGGACCATACCATTAAATAATTTATTTTTAAGCACCCACAAGAGAACGTGGTGATCAAAAGCAGCCAACAAGGATTCATGAAGAACAAGTCATGCCTGAGCAACCTGATTTCCTTCTATGACATGATGGGCTCTGTGGATGTGGGGAGGAGGGAATGTGATGTACTGTGACTTTAGCAAGGCACTTCACACTGTCTCCCATGACATTCCTATTATAAGACTACAGAAATCTTGTCTAGATGAAAATAGAGCTAGATGTTACATAACTGGTTGGATCATCATGCTCGAAAGAGTAGTCATCAATGTCTTGATGCCCAGAATGCAGGGCAGATATGGACCTGTATAGACTAAAAAAGATATATGGGCTGAAGCTCACTTCACTGTTTAGTATCTTCATCAGTGATTTGGAGAATGGGACTGAGCATGCACTTGGCAAATCTGCAGATGACACCAAGCTGAATGGAGCTGCTGACACACTGGAGGGCAGGGTTGGAATCCAGAATGACTCGACAAACTGGAGAAGCAGGTGGCTAAGGAAAAGATGGTGCCAGATTATTTTCTGTGGTGACTGGGGACAGGACAGGGACTACTGCTTTGACATAGGAGACAGGGACATTTTGGTTGGGCGTTAGGAAGAACTTCCCCACTCCACTCCAAGGGCCATCAAGTGTTGGAACAGATGACTCTGCCAGCAAGGAGCAGGGCCTAGATCTTTGAAGGACCAAGCCAGTATACAATTATGTTGGTTAGGGGTTTGATTTCTTGTTTAACTAACCTGGTTAGCATGGGACAAAACCCTAGGGTAGAAAGTTACATGTGTGTAATGGCAGCTGCCTGCAGCATATTTAAACAGTCACCATTGGTGACGTGTAGGGCATGCACACAGGTGCACGCGCACCCCCTGAGCTTGGCGGTGCACCCCCTCAGAAAAGGCACCACCCACACTACCGACAGTGCCTGCAGGCAAGTTGCTACTCACCACCGCCCCCCAGCATTGTCTGCAGCGTCTGCGGGCAGTCCGCAATCACCACTGGCCACCGCCACTGCTGCTGGCGGCGTCTGTGGGTGGTCACCAACCGCTGTTTCGCACTCGCTGCCCCCATCCCCCTTGCAGCCGACAGCGCTGCAGCTGCCTGCGGGAGCTCGACGTGCCCCCCAGCCTCCTTCCTGTACAGGGCTAGCAGTAGACACACAAAGTACACTTATGCCACAATAAGTGGGTTTTTACTGGTGTGTGTGTGTATGTGTTCTCGGGGGGGGGGG